TCAAACAAGATTCATGCCCCGGAGGAACATCCAAGACAATGTCCTGCTGGTCAATAAGACCACAAAATATGCAAGACAAAGGAAGCAGGACTCGGCCATCCCTTTCATTGATCTTGAAAAGGCATACGACCACATACGGTCGACTTGCAGGCCATACACGCCCGTTCCAGGACCTTCGAAATCCGACACGTGGGCGAGGTTGCTGGAGTAGAGTATCTCCCCCCCCCCCCCCCAAAAAAAAAAAAAGTGGGAACTTTTTTGTTCGCTGGGTTGGTGCAATTAAAAACAGTAAGAAAATTTGATTGATTGATTTTTTGGTTCATTGATTATTGGTTGATTAATTGATTGATTGGTTGGTTGGTTGATTGATTGATTGATTGATTGATTGATTAATCGATCAATTGATTGGCTGATTGAATTTCAAAAAAAAAAAAAAAAAAGAGAAAATGTGCAGACACACACACAGTCATGCTTCTTTTAAACCACAACTGGCCCCGCCGTCCTGAATTAGGGGGCACCAGTAGCACAGGTCCATGAGGGCTACCGGTAGCACAATGGGGGGAACATTCGGATTGGCAAAATTGGAATATGCATTGAATTACCCCCGCGATTTATTTTGAGGTTGTAATGATTTTTAGTTTTATTTTCAAATATTTTTCCTAGAAAGATCACGACGAAATCTGCGGACCGCCTGACCCTGTAGTTCTCAGACGTTTCAGAGTATTGTATTGGACATGAAAAATCGCTGAAGTCTGGGTACTTTTCCCATTGGCCGACACATGATAGAGCAGCAAAAATGGAATATGGGACAAATTGGAGAGGCATTTATTTCAGTCTGAATTGTTTTTTTTATTTTTTTAAATATCTTTCGTGGAAAGTCCACAACCAAATCTACAGGCCTTTCAATTTGCGGAGTTGTTGAGTCATCCTTATGAGCGCAAAAAAACGCTTTCCATTGGCCCACATGTGGTAGAGTGGCAAAAACTGGAAAATGCAACGAAACAGCACGGCATTTATTTCACGGTCTACATTGTTTTTTTAACTTATTTGATATTTTTCCTAGAAAGATCCCAATCTAATCTACAGGATCTCAATTTTTCAATTTTTTTCTTCAATTCTGCTGAGAGCGAAAAATTGCCGAAGTTGGAGCTTGGAAATCCATGAACTGGACACGCCTGCACCTGCCGGTCGCCGCCCCCACTAAGAACCCGGTCCGTAAGGCCAGGAAAGGCGAATTTAGGCCAGCGGGGATAGTGGTGGCTTAAGTGTACAGCGAATATGACAGCACGCATACACACACACACGCTCAAACACCGCACGCACACCAGCACACGCGCATGCACACACACACACACCGCCCCCCATCCTCTCTCTCTCTCTCTCTCTCTCTCTCTCTCTCTCTCTCTCACACACACACACACACACACACACACACACACACACACACACACACACACACACACGCATACAGAGAGACAGACAGAAAGAGAGAGAGGAAGTGTGCACAGTCCCTCCCACAGCCATGTGCTATTGCACACATTTTATTTTTTGTTTTTCTCAGTCAATCAATCAATCAACAACCAATGGACCATCAATCAATCAATCAATTTTTTTTTTGCTGTTTTTTTTTGTTTTTTTTTTTTCACTCCTTTCAATATTTCTTTTTTGTTTTCAATCTAATAAGAACAAACCAAAAAATAAAGGGGTTGTAAAGCTTTCTGCGCTCTACAACCCTGTACTTTTTTTTTGTTTTGCTAATTTATATTGTTTTGCTACTTTATATGCCATTGATGTATGTCTCCTGGCTTACAATTGTAACCCTTATACTGTTTCTGATTCCGCAAACGTCCACTGGATAGAAGAAGAGCACCATGCCGTCTGCCGAGAGGTCGACAATACTGCACCTGGCGTGAACATAGAAGTCATGTTTATGGCATTTATGGGTAGGCGACTACAATTCCAGCCTGCTCCACAAAACCACGTGCCAGGCATGGATCCAGATATTCGGGCATGTATCTTACATCGTCCAGGTCATTTCAGTGCTCTTACTTTGCGGATAATTCATCGACCCTATGGGAAAAGCAATGGCAGTAGGGTGCACGCCATGGGAAATATTAACTCTTTCTCTCACCAAATGGTGAGGGACCACTCAGTCTGGCTCGTCCATCAGGAACAGTATGTCCATGACCGCTTGCGAGCACTGCACCCACTGGATAGCAATCCGGCTGATTCTACCACAAACAGTGAAGCGACTTCTCCGGAGGATGGTGGCTGCGCCCTCCCATTGTGTCTTCGGGTGGCATTTACACGGCATAGCCTCTGCTCCAAACACTACGAAGGGATGGTTGCTGCTAGTCTCTCCCACAAATACTGCGATCCATTGTCTTGAGCTCATCCACCCCCCCCTGATTACTTCCCCAGCATGCCGTTGTGGCCTTGATCTGCCACGCTTAAATAACTGTGCACGTCAGCCTTCCATACTGATGACATGTCAACAAGATGCCATGTGTCGACATTGTTTTGAGGAAGCTGTCATAGAAAGTATGTCTTTACTGTGTGGGCTATCCCCGGTGCCATCATCCACCACATCATCTCCTGGCATGTCCCACATGCAGTGTTCGTCATACACCTATGGCAACCGCAGACAGATCTCCCTCTTCCTTGCCAGACGAACAACAGACACAGCAGCCCGAGGAGGAAAATAGACTTCTATACGAACCACCTGCAGACCGATGTGCTGATTCTTTATCACCACCAGGGCGAGCTGTTGCAAGCTGTTGCGGACCAAATCCTGCAGCAGCTGGAACACCCTTGCTTTGGACCGATCCTCCCTGTCGTCGTCTGCCCATAGAGAAGGAATAAATACTGAGAAGACCCAAGAAAGATGCTCCATGCCGCTTTGTGATGACCCGCCAGAGATTCAACTAGCATGTGGTTCACATGCCTTGTGCCGTGAGGATTATGAAGGGATAGTCCATGCGAGTTTTTGCTTTCATACGTACGTCAACAGTCAGTACTATACTCGTGTACAGCACCCTGACATGTCAAGTCCAATTTGTAGACGTGCTGGAACGGCAATGCCTCTATAATTGCGGTCGACATGCCTCCATGTTCCTTACCATGTAGGAGCCACATAGCCTGTGACATCTGTCTGCGCATCACATTCCACCTCCCCCTACCCCACACTCCTATAAAACTCCGCATTATATCCCTTTCCCTCCACCACCACCCCCCTTGTGCTAGTAGCACATACATACGGATGAGCATCATTAAGAGAACAGACGATAAGAAGATAAGAAGTGAAATGAACAGGAGTATGCAGATGAAGGATGGACACAAAGACTGTATAAGCTGAAGATCTGAAGTGAAATGAACAGGAGTATGAAGATCTGAAGAGAAATGCACAGGAGCATACCTTCCCTTTTACTCTGCCTCCTGTTATAACGTGCAAGTGGGCCCTGAAGGCACACAAAGATGTGGGCAGCTGCCGCTTAACACAATCAACGTGGGCAGCCTTTGTATGTGCGAGGCATAGCAAAAGAAAAACTGTTGCCCCAAAGAAACCCCAACTAAACACAGTTCAAAATGGTTCCGTTATGATTCATGTTGCTTGCTACAGAGGTGAAATTCTTTACTTGTTGGACTGGCTCAACTCGAATCTACTTGTCTGGGTGGAATAGGGGCTGTTGTGGTGGAAACTTAAAACACACACACACACACACACACACACACACACACACACACACACACACACACACACACTACCAGTAGTCAAAGAAAGGGAGCCAGCTCCAAACAGACACACACCAGCAGCAGACAGAGGGAACACATTGCAAACGTCCCCGAGCACAGATAGACCAGCTACGCAGACATCTCGGAAATACCCGCAGACACACAGAGATTGAAGGACACACGGATAGGAGGAGGAGGGAACCGACAAAGAGAGAGAGGGTCTGCCGTACCACTCACCGAATAGGACAAAGACAAGCTCTACCCAGTGTACCTCTCCACGTTCCTGGCAAGTGACATTCTCCATGTTGCACATTCAGCGCGTGGTGCAGCCCATCAACAAGCACATTAAACTCTTCAGGTTTTTTGTCCTATGTGACAATTTTTATTTTTTTGTTCCCTTTCTTTCTTTTTTTTTTAAGGGCGCCTTGACATACCATGTTGTAACTGACTGGCCCCATAATTTCAGTCATCTGGTTCCATTTGGATTGGAACTCAGGTCCGCATTTCCGCAGTTCATGGGTGCACCCCAAGTTTCTTTTCTTCACTTTTTTATTTGCGTGATTACCTTTTGTTCATTCGATCTTTTACGTCTGCATGCCGCCAAGGAAATGGTAAAAAAAGCGCATGCTTGCGTTCGTATTTGCTTGAACGAATCCTGACCACTGATATGCACCAAATTCATTCATTCCATAAAAGAAGTGCTACCTAGTGTGAAAATGCCCCACGTCTTCATAAAACCCACAGTCAGTAGAGAGCACTATAAGTCTATAACAGATAATTGTTTTTCGTTTTCTTTTTTTTTTCCTGCCTGCCATAACCACTTCGTTGACTGCAGACCGACAACCTATTCTTTTTTCTTTTTTTTTAACACGCCCCCGTCAGTGTGCAGACCCACAACCTTCGTCGACAAAATTCCTTTTTCTTTTTCCCTGGACTCACAAATTGTTCTCTTCTTCTTTTCGTCCTTTTTTTTTCCCGGACGATGCGCAGGAATAGAAGCTTATATTCCCGGCCTCGTCATTGTTCTTCGGCATATAAATCCTTTCTCTGTTCTCTGCCCCCCCTCCCCTCCCCCCCACCCCACCCCCCCCCTTATTAAAAAAAGAGCTTAACTCTAAATCATTGCCCATGGAAGCACAGATACCACACAATCTGTACATTCACATAAAATTTCCACAGACAGAAGGGGAAAAGGCGAGGGGGGGGGCACGTGTCTGTTCCCCAACAACAACCAATCAATCAATCCATTAATCAATCAGATCACATTGAATCAGTACATCTATTGATTTAATCAAATCCAATCCAATCAATCAGTTAATTAATCAAACCAATAGTGTGACAGATGTCCGTTCCTATGGGATTCAAACATTCAGAGAAAAGGAATATAGCGACTCATGCCGCTCACAGCCTGAACCGGACGGGGTGAACGTGTCGAACAGAACACCGTTCGTATGAGACTGAAACATTCCCAAAGAGGAAAGGGCAAAAAAAAAAAAAAAAAAAAAAAAACAGAAATACATCGACTGAAGTCGCTCGTAGGCTGAAGAAGGGCGTGGGGTGTCCGTGTCAAGGGGGTGGGTGGGGTGTCCATTGTAAAAGGGGGAGGAGGCTATCCGTGTCAAGGGGCTGAGGCCTTTATGTCAAAGGGGGGAGGGGGCAGGGGGTCCACATCAACAGGAACAAATAGGGGTAAAACCATTATTAAAAAAAAAAAAAAAAAAAAAAAAGAGCAGAGGATGCAATGGCTCCCATCGGTCGTATCTTGAATCGAAGGCAGTGTGTACACGTCAGCAGCGTCAGCAGGGATGCTGACGTGGCAAACCGCCTCACCATCCCCTCATCCAATCAACAGATCTGTGTACACGTCAGCAGGGCTGGCCACAAGACAGCACCACAGAGGAAAACGTTGTCCCTCCCTTCTTAACCAGCCAGAGAGATTGCGAAGTGGGTGATGATGAGTCGTTGATGACATCCTTCTTTTTTTTTTCTTTTCTTATCTTTTTTCTTTTGGTTTTAATCTCATTTTGATACTACCGTATGTATGGCTTTAGGGTAATCAATTCGAAACCCAGCACTATCCTTTTCCATTTCATCGCCTCTGCTATTGCCACGTCAGCACACACGTCAGCACCACGTCAGCGTCACGTCAGCGCCACGTCAGCGCCACGTCAGCGCCACGTCAGCGCCACGTCAGCGCCACGTCAGCACACACGTCAGCGCCACGTCAGCCACACGTCCGCGCGAGTGCCAAGGGTACCCCCGCCGCATCACAGAAAAGACAAAATCCCCTTCTGTCGCTATCAAAGGCCGGCAGCTCTCCGGCGCCTACGCACAGTCTCGAGGGGATAGCAGCATCCACGTCAGCATATATGCCCGAGCACGTGCGTCCACGTCAGCATGATGCGAGGAGATCCATCCATTCGTTTATACGCAGCATAACCCACAACACGACAAAGACCTTTTCGGTTCCACGTCAGCACATGTCGTAGGCCCCCCGCCAAACATGAACACGCCCAAACGAAATTTGGCGGGAAATCACCGCCGTCCCGCGCAATCGCAGAATCAGTTTTTCCCGCCTGCAGCCGCCCCGCCCCCTGCGGCGGCCGCCGCTGCCGCCTCCTCCAGAATCCGACTGTCTCTCTCTTCCATCGCATAGTCCCACGCGTCGGAGCGTGGATGCTTCGGTTTGCCGTAAAGGGCCTTGTGAACCGTGTGCTGGATCCCCCCCATCAACACGAGGGCCCCGCCAATTATAATAAACGGGGGGAGCGCTTCGAGAGCCATCCCCGCAGACTCCGACCGGCTTCCGCCACGTGGCGCGCAACAGAAGACACCGCGCTCTGCCGTTGGGCTAGCACCCCGCCGCTGATTGCCCACTCAACGAACGAAGACAGCCGTCTGCTCACACACCAACGCTGATGATGACTGGCTGCGCGTAAGCAGAGTAAACCTCAACACCTGCCTCCGCACATTACTGCTCACGAAAAAAACAAGTGTCAATTTTCATAACAAAAAAAAAGTGACAGATCAGACTCAACACTAAGGCAACAGAGATGATGGGAAAGAAGGTAAGTCCAAATTATGGTTGGAAAAGAACTAAACA